GAAATGTCAATTTGTCCCAGATATGAATATGTTCTTATGAGAAAGATTTCCTCTAAATAGGGTGAAGTTTTCTTACCCAGAGAGCTGAGGGTCCGGTAATTCTCCATCATCACATCCCGGTAAAGCTCCTTCTCTTCATAATTTAAATAGTCCCACTCCTCCTCGGAGAAGTAAACGGCCACCTCCTCAAACTCACACTGATCCTAAATAAGAAATGTCATTGTTACAGATCATCAATCTACAACAGGATTAATTGGCCAGACATTAACTATAACTACTACAAATTATAGCCTTTAATTGTTTCAGATAAGCTTTTCAAAGGAAAATTACCATAGACTTCAATGGTGGATTCTGTAGATAAATAATTAGAAAAGATTTTCTAACAGATTGAGATCATTTGAAATGTTTATCCAAAACAATTAAATTGAGCGTGATATTCTCATCATGATTCTTATCTTTCTCTCCCTCTACCATATCCTTGAGTTATACTTCCCCATCACAAAGACAGGAAGATAGGATAAAACAATAGAAGTGTATTTTGCGAATATATCCCTTACCGGTCTGTTCAGCTGGTAGTCCATCTCGGAGACTTGATACAGATCTCTCAATCACCTCCACCTTCTAATAGGGTTTTTGTCTAGGAGTCACTGGATGACTTGTCATCTCCAAACAATGGACTCCAGTGCCAGCAGAGATTGGTGACCTTGTTGGGTCCCAGTGTGAGGGACATAAATCAAAGGAATTAACCTACTGGATATAAATATAGCGGTTAGGCATTCTCCATCATGAAATGAGTGTAAATGTTTGGTTTTTGAGTCTTTATTCCATTTTAGCTGCTCTGTTTAATTTGCAAAGACCCCCAACAGTGACATCACCTCCAGGGGTTCTGTATCCATCGGGCAAGGTAAGGTAGGTTTTTACATACCTGAACCTGTCTTCTTCAACTCCTGGTGCTTCAACTGTCAAGAGCAGACTTCAACACTGTGCTCTTGCGCATGCTCAAGAGAACAGCATTGAGGTCTATGGAGAATCCTGAGAGTCAATAAGATTCTTCATATTAATAGCCTATTTAAGGTTCATGTGCGTTGAAGAATTTCTGATCAAGGCTCCACAGAGCTTATTTTAACCTTTGTGGATTGGCATTTAGTGTGTTTTTTATACTTCGGTTGTGTCAGGATTATCATTATTGGAGTAAAAACACTTTATTTCTACTGTATCTGATATATTATATGAAAAGGTTTCGTCACGATCTGTATTCAGCACTGAAACCTGGACCACAAGGTCTGGATTTGGCAATCCAATGTTTGGTGGCATTTGGACTTTGGAGAATAAACCATTTCACTCCCCTCCCGAGAGAGTGCTGCTAATTGTTACTCAGTGCCCAGTTTATTAAGCAGTGATTTGGAATGTGTGTAAACTGAAACCGATAGCAATTGTGGTGCCTCGTCCGTCAACCATTATAAAAAGCCAAGCTGTTTTAGAACACGTTGACTTCTTACCAGATATCCTCCATGCGTGGCTCGCTGCCTCCGCTACTTAATCCAGAGTTAGCTTTGCTAAACTAAGTCCTACAATGCAGAGCTAACTCATTAACTGAGTGTGTCAGCTGATTCCTCTCAGCCAATAGACCTGTCCAACATGACTCAGCTCCGAGAGCTTACGGCACTCTGGCAGAAGTAGAGGTGCCCAGAGGTTACCCCCTCTCTCTCCATGTTACTCTCGCTCTCTCTCTTTCTCCATGTTACCCCCTCTCTCTCCATGTTACTCTCGCTCTCTCTCTTTCTCCATGTTACCCCCTCTCTCTCCATGTTACTCTCGCTCTCTCTCTCCATGTTACTCTCTCTCTGCATGTTATATATATGATGTATTGATTTGGTTATTGGTTTAATCAGCTGATTAGGGACAGCATTACATTACTGATACTGTATCCTCCCTGCTGCTCACTGATGAATGATCTCTCTCTCTCCATGTTACTCTCTCTCTCTCCATGTTTCTCTCTCTCTCTCTCCATGTTTCTCTCTCTCTCTCCCCATGTTTCTCTCTCTCTCTCCCCATGTTTCTCTCTCTCTCTCTCCCTCCATGTTACTCTCTCTCTCCCTCCATGTTACTCTCTCTCTCTCCATGTTACTCTCTCTCTCTCTCTCTCCATGTTATATATGATGTATTGATTTGGTTATTGGTTTAATCAGCTGATTAGTGACAGCATTACATTACTGATACTGTATCCTCCCTGCTGCTCACTGATTAATGATCTCTCTCTCTCTCTCCATGTTACTCACTCACTCTCTCTCTCCCCATGTTACACTCTCTCTCCATGTTACTCACTCTCTCTCTCTCCATGTTACTCTCTCTCTCTCTCTCCATGTTACTCTCTCTCTCTCTCTCCATGTTA